CAGAGTAATGAGAAAGACCTGGGTGTCAGAAACTTCTCCAGGAACTATGAAGCCTTAGTTAGGCCCATGGCCAGCTATCTGCCCTGTTCATCACAGGACATGGCCAGAGCGCTTGGAATCCATGCCAACAGTCATCACCTGGTCAGTGTGTCGGACAGGTGTATGCTTTATCACATGCACATGATTTTTCTCTACAGGGGAAATAACAAATAAATACATGGTTTTGGGTACTGTTTTAAATTTTTATATTATTTATACTTTCTATGTGTGTCTGATGTGCCATAGCATGCAAGGCGGGGAGGTCAGACCGCATCCTGCAGGAGTTGATTCTCTATTCCCACCATGTGGGCCCAAGAGTCAGCTTCAGGTCATCAGGTTTTGGCAGCAAGCACCTTTACCAGCCAAGCCGTCTCACCCACCCAAAGTGTTACCAATGCAGCCTCAACATTTTGTATTTGGGATTTTTTCCTCTGCTAAAGAGAATTGAATCTAGGGCATCATGCATGCTGCTCATGTGCTCTACTGAGGTACATCCCCAGGGAATTTGCGTTGCTTACATCCACAGAAGGGAATTATATAGAGAACATATAGATATAATACTGCATACTATAATATATAACTGTAAAAATACTGCATATAATACTGTATATTTAAAAATCTATAGTTTCTCTCTACTGATTTTCTTATTGAAGGGCAATGTAGGTTTGTTTTTTTTTTGTCAACAGGGCTGGGCTCACTGAGATCAGTTGAAGAGGCAGAGGAGGGATCATACAAACAAGGGGGTCAGGAGCATGATGGGAAAAACCACAGAGACCGCTGAGCCGAGCTAGTGGAAGCTCAGGGACTATACACAACTCGGGAACCTGCACAGGACTGAACTAGACCCTCTGAATGTGGGTGACAGTTATGTGACTTGATATGTTAGGGGGGCTGGCAGTGGCACCAGGACCTGTCCCAGGTGCATGAACTGGCTTTCTGGAGCCCATTCCCTTTGGTGGGATACCTTCTTCAGCCTTGATACAAGGGGAAGGGGCTTGATCCTGTCAAATCTTGGTATGCCAGAATTTGTTGGCTCTCCAAGGAAGGCCTTGCCCCCTCTGAAGAGTAGTTAAGAAGTGGGAAGGGGGAGGCTGGAGGGCAGGAGAAGGAGGAACTGGAGTTGGTATGTAAAATAAAATAAATTTCTTCAATAAAAAAATTAACAAACAAAAAAGAGAACATGTATTTGCAATACTGTATATTAAAATATACAACTATAAAAATGCTGTATATAATGTTGTGTATTTAAAAACCTGGAGTCTCTGTCTACTGATTTTCTTTTTGGAGGGCTATGTGGTTTTTTGTTTTTTTTTTTAAATTCAGTATCTATCACTGTATCGCAGGTTAGCCTCAAACTTGCTACATGGCTGAGAACGGCCTTGAACTTCTGATCTTGCTGTCTCTATCTCTGGAGGGCAGGGATTAGAACCACCACCTGGTGGAGTAGGAGGGCCTTCTGTTACTTTCATTATTACTATGTGTTACTTTCATTGGTCAAATAAAGAAACTGCCTTGGACTTTTGATAGGACAGCAGCTTAGATAGGCGGAGTAGACCAAACAGAGTGCTGGGAGAAAGAAAGCAGAGTCAAGCAGATCATGGCTCTACTCTCCGAGAAGGACGCTGGTTAGACTCAGCCCGGTAAGCCACAGTCAAGTGATCATACAGATTATTAGAAATGGGTTAAACGAATATGTGAGAGTTAGCCAATAAGAGGCTAGAACTAGGGGCCAGGCAGTGTTTAAATGAATACAGTTTCTGTGCAATTATTTTGGGTAAAGCTAGCTGGGAGCCAGGTAGCAGGAAGTGGTCGCAGCTCCTTTTTACAACAGATTGGCTGCCCAACGTGGTTAACTAATGACACGTAAAACCTGAGAGGGCTTTAAAAGGAAATCTAGACTCAAATATAGAAAGAGTTTAACACAGCTTTTTGCTGTTTACTGGTGGGGTGCCATAGAGAGATTTCCTGATTCAGCAATAGCAGCAGAAAAAAGCCATGCCATTTTAAAACGCAGCTTTCTGGGTCCTGCCACTGGTGCAATCTCTGGCTATGGAGCATTTCTGGGCCCGGATGTTTGTGTGCCCACTCAGGGTCGGGAAAAAACCCCAACATGCCCGTAGCTCAACTCTTCCTGCCTGAGTATGCAGCAGAATCAGGTCTACTAGAAAGTGGTAGTTTTGAAATACCAGTTTCTAGGCTGTGCTGCCAGCGCGACCTCTGGCTCCTGCGGGAGACGGAGCATTTGAATGGGCTTTTGTGAGTAAAATGCTATGGCTTGCTTGATGGCAAACTGGACTCGCTGTGTGCCTGAAAGGGGAGCACTACATGTGGCTCAGAGGCACAAATGACTCAGAGGCACAAGCAGCTCCACCATGCTAGCAGTGCCATGCACATGGCTCAGAGGCACAAGTGGAGAGCCTCTGTAATGCTAAACTGTGCTGATCTCAGGCAGAAGCCATCGTAATTATCATAATAACAGCTCAGTTAATGTTTAGACTGGGCAGTAAACAAGAGGTACTGTATTACCCCTACATGATGCAAGTTAAGTTATTAAGAAGTGCTTAGCATTTTAAGAAGTACTCCTGGATAGTAAAGAATTACAGATTCACAATAGGACAGATTCAGACATAAAAGACCTCTAAATGGGTCATAGTGTTAAACAGACATACGTAGGCTTGGGAGAGAGAAGAAGAAGAGTATTAAAAAGTCATAAAGTAAAGTTAGTGCTTTAAAAAAGAAGGTAAGGTCTTCAAAGAAACAATACAGATAGTTATAGATTAAAAGAAGTAAAGAAAAATAAGCCACGTAAAGATGGAAAATACACAGAGAGTCTGGATTATGTTTATTGTGTTTTCTTTGAATTTTTTGACGGTGAAGGAGCTAAGTACAGAAAAACATTTCATTGTATGGGCTGCCAAACTAAACCAACATATATGTTCTAAAGGTATAATGACTTCAGAATTTGGGTCTAAGGATATGATGCTTTGGGAAAGAGGTTCTTCTGTTTTCACAAAGGATGAGACCTATGAATTACATTTAGACCAATATGGTATGATAGACCACACCCTCCTGAAAGGTTGCTGTGAACACCCTCAAAAAATTACTTTGCTCAACTGCTGACTGAGAGGAACCTAGCACACAGGATATACCATGAAAGACCTGAATAACAGCATCCCAATACAGCAGGAAGCAGTTTGGAGAAAAATAACTGCACCCATATTTCCAAATATTGTTTAGAAATGTTCTTTTACATTTAAATGGGGATATGATATAGATATGAATAATTTGCATTGGTATGGATTTTAAGGTCAATTTTGTTATATGTATATGTATTTCTGATCTTGATGAAGGTATTGTGATTGTGTAGTTCATTTTAAAAATGTAATGTATAATTAGGAAATATAGGTTGTTAATGGATAATCACCAAAAATAATCAAGCTTGTAGTCATGTTAGTTAGATTTTCTAGATATATATATAGATATATTTCAGTTAGATAGGCATTCTTCATATCTTTCAAAGACTACAGAATATGGCATTTTAAATGTTTTAATAACTTAGAGTTTTCATGACAATGAGACACGTCTGCTCCTGGCAGCACCAACTACTTCAAGAGGAAGATGGGCATCAAAGAGGCTTCTTATGGAGTTTGTTAGCCATTTGGGCAAGAAACTGCTCTTGCCTGGACTGTTGCATAAACTGGACACAAAGAACCCACAGAGAGAGGACTGCTGAACTTGCCTAAATGTAAGATGATCCTTCTGGGTTCCTGATTCATGAAAGAATCTGCGAGATATTCTGCAGGATACAAAAGAAAGTGACTGAACTGTCTTTGATATTTCCTGCTTCATGGAAATGTCTGCTGGATACTATGGGTCTGTAAGCTGAAGATGGATGCCCCAATGGAACAGAATAACTTTGGTTACTGTACAGGCAGCGAGATGTCTCTGTCATTTCAAGAATTTGGAAGTTGCTTATTTCTTGTCTGCTTAGGTAATATTGTATCCTTCTGGAGTCTTTGATGGAGTTGAAGAATAAATAGATATTTATAGTTTTCCTTAGTTATGATAAAAGATAAAGTAAATATAAATATTGTAACTGTACTTCTTGCTTGATAACTGTTTTGCTATATATAATTTTACTATGTTAAAATGAAAGCCTTTCTGTTTTATTTAAACAGAAAAAGGGGGAATGGAGTAGGAGGGCCTCTGTCAATGGGTTACTTTCATTGGTCAAATAAAGAAACTGCCTTGGACTTTTGATAGGACAGCAGCTTAGATAGACAGAGTAGACAAAACAGAGTGCTGGGAGAAGAAAGCAGAATCAGGCAGACGCCATGGCTCTACTCTCCAAGAAGGACGCTGGTTAGACTCATTCCAGTAAGCCACAGTCAAGTGGTCATACAGATTATTAGAAATGGGTTAAACGAATATGTGAGAGTTAGCCAATAAGAGGCTAGAACTAGGAGCCAAGCAGTATTTAAATGAATACAGTTTCTGTGTAATTATACTGGGTAAAACTAGCTTGGAGCTGGGCAGCAGGAAGCGGCTCGCCATTCCTTTTTACAAGAAACCGGCCCTGTTCTGTGGTGCTGATGATCCAGCCTAGGGCTTTGTGAGTACTAGGCAAGAACTCTCTCAACCGAGCTACATCCCCAACACAGAATGCCATTCTGTACTTATTTTTATTTAATAAATTTTGTTGTCTGACACAATGTATATAATGCATTCTGGCCAATTTCTCCACTCTCACTCATTTCCCTCCCACCCCTGTCAATCTTCCTTTCTCCCTGCAAATCTCTTTCCCATATTTGGGATTTCTTCTGTGTCATATAGACTTTAACTAGTGCCATCTGTGTGACCGTGGGTTTAGATCTGTCCACTAGAGCCTGTGTTCTCACCACTCCCCAAACAAATGCATACAATGCCTCCCTCTCACCCAGAAGCCGTGTCAACAGCTGTTAAAGTTCATGTTTATGTTAAACAGATCTACTAGTTAAACACATACTTTCAACTTCCTCTTGCTGAGGTGAGAGGGTTTTCTGATAAGATTTACTCTTGGTATGAGCTGATAGGTTGTCAGGTTACAGCTAGAGCCAGCAGAACTCAGTAGGAACATATGCAAACCATGGGCTGCCATGCACACTGGACCCCTCACCCTAAGCCCTAGGAACTGGAGGGGCAGTCAGCTTGTTGTTATGTTTTATGTTTTGTTTTTGGTCATGTTTATCTCCTCTCTGCTGTATGTGTGGTCACAAGGTTTTCTGTTTCACTCTCTAGATACGGCACCCGTAACCATGATGTTTTTAAGAAACAGGGAATTCCTGGGCCCAAACCTCTGCCATTTTTAGGAACTCTGCTGAATTACTATGAGGTAAGTGTTGACTTATAATGACCAATAATGGTTCAGTTCTATTAAATGCTGCTTGATAGAAAACACTGAGATTTCCTCATACTGTGTGTTCTCATGATAGTAGAGAATGTCCAGTGATTCTTTAGGACTGTATTGTCAACTTGAAACTATCAAATGGTTTTTTTTTTTTGTGTGTGTGTGTGTGTGTGTGTGTGTGTGTGTGTTTATAGTGTGTATCAATGTACTTACATGTGCCCATCTATATGCAGGTTCATATGCATAGATATACGTGTGCATGTAGAGTCCAGAGGTTGGTATTGGGGGTTTGTCACTTTATACTTTAAGGTAGGGTCTCTCACAAACCCAGCTCTCTCTTACTTGACTAGTTTAGCTGGTCAGCTTGCTCCAGGGATCCCTTGTCTTGGCCTCCTGCACGTGGAGATACTGGAGGACTTTAACCCAGATTTGTCATTTATTCAGATATTGGGGATTCAAACTCCGGCTTTTATGGTGAGCTCTTCTCACTGAACCATTTCCACAGCCCTCATTGTCAACTTCCTCCAATATTTATTAATTTTGGGGTGAGTGTGTATGTGCCACAGCATGCATTTGTAGGTCAAGGGACAACTTGTGGGAGTCAGTTTTCTCTTTCCACTATATGAGTCCTAGGAATGAATCTCAGGTTGTCAGGGTTGGTGGCACGTGCCTTCCCATCGGGGTCATCTCAGTGGCCCTGATGTCAATTTATTGAGCCTCAGGTTTGCCTCTGGTAAAATGCACAGATCTCCATCCCATTTAATCTTGTTATTTAGGAGCTCAGACTATGTGAGCAATAAAAGAAATTTATTTCTTACCCAGTGCAGGTGCCAGGAAGGCACTTCTATACTTCTTTGAAGAAAATCTTTTTTATGTTGCTTGGATTGTTTTATTTTTTATTTTATTTTATTTTTCCATTAAAAAATTTACACTTCCTCCCCTCCTCCCATTCCCCTCCCGCTCCCCCATTCACCCACCATCCTCCCCCTCCCTCCTTAAGAGAGGGCAGGGAATCCTGCCCTGTGGGAAGTCCTGTGTGGATACAAAGAAAATTTAATTTGGTACACACAGGTTGAAGTCCTAGAAGCTGGAAACACGTGTCAGAATGGCTAAAGTCAAAAACACCAATGATAGCTTATGCTGGAGAGGATGTGGAGTAATGGGAACGCTCATCCATTGCTGGTGGGAATGCAAACTTGTGCAACCACTTTGGAAATCAGTGTGGCAGTTTCTCAGGAAACTGGGAATCAACCTATCTCAGGACAGAACTTGACCCTTAGGAAGCTCAGCAAGTGCTCTTAACTGCTGAGTCACATCTCCAGCCCTAAAGACATGTTTTCTGTTCTGTTTTGGTTTTGTGGTGCTGAGAATGGGATCCAGGGATTTAGACATGCCAGCAAGTGCTCTAACATGGACGTGGACCTATAGCTTCTTCTCTTCCTTTAAAGGCAGCAGCCTGTGCATGAGTGTGAGCAGCAAGTGTGTAACCTGAGACAGGATGGTGGCTGTCAGTCACCTCACACACTGGACTACACAATGTGCTTTGTATTTTCATTTAAAGATATTAAAGATATTAAATCACTGAGAAAAGGAAGATTCAACAAAATAACTGTGTTAGAAACTTCAATAATAAGCATGTCATGTGCCACATTTAAGTCTATGTGGATCATCTGTGTTAAAAGAGCTTTGACTCCTGGCCTATGGTCAGTCCACAGCAGACATTCCCAAGCTCATGTCCAGAGGGTGAGTGGGAAAGCTTGCACTACCATCAGCTCAGATTTTCTTCCTAGAGGTTCTATGTTTTGATTGCAAATTCTTCAAAACAATTTCATTATTATCATTATTATTATTATTAAGATTATTATTGTGTGTATCTTCTGCTGTGCACATGTGTATGTCTATGAGTTTGCATGCAGAGTCCACAGGAAGGTGTCAGGTGTCCTGCATTGTTGCTCTGCCTTCTCCACTGAGACATCTTGCTGGTGCCACTAAACGTTACTGAAGAACTTTTCTCTGTCAGAAACAGTAAACTTTACTTCATGGGATTTGAGGGTTTGGTTCCCTGGCTACAGAAGGGTTGGCACATACAGGACAATAATGGATTTCATGCTCTTTCTCATTCCAGGGTATATGGAAATTTGATGTTAAGTGCTATAAAAAGTATGGAAAAATGTGGGGGTGAGTATTCTGGAAAGTCCCATGGAGTTGACTCTTTTTAGGAGAATGTATTCTACTTGTGCCAGACAATGCCAGCCCAGAATTGTAGTAATGGCCTCTCTGTTGGAAAGGTAATGCCATGTGTCATTAAGTGCCATGGTTCACAAAACTAATTATCTTGAGAACATTGTATATTGTAGCTTTTTGAAAGGCTTTGATGTTCCAAGGACTCTGGACATCGTGTTTTTGATATTTTGTTTTGTTATGTTTTTGAGGCAGGGTTCTCTGTGTAACAGTCTTGGACTGTCCTGAAAGTCACTCTGTAGACCAAACTGATCTCAAACTCACAGAGATCCACCTGCCTCTGGCTCCTTAGTTCTGGAATTACAGGCATGCGCCATCACCATCTGCTGCTAAGACTTTTGATAGAAGTGTATATCACTGTGTCCTGTCTTGTTGAACTGACTTTGGAGATTCAATGTATTTAAAAACCAAAGTGTTCTTCCTTAGATCCATGTCCTCAATGATTCTGTAAAGTGGCTGAGCCAGCAGCAGGAACTGTTCCCTGTCTCTGATGCTGGAGTTAGATTAGAGCTTTGGAGTAAGTATTGTCATTATGCTGTAAGACAAAAACAAATGGGAGGAGGCTCTGGTTCTTCCTGCCTCTTCATCTCTTCTCATCCATCCTTATCACAAGGATCTGCTGAGTTATCAGAGCCCATAAAGACAGTTTCATTCAATGCCAACAGCAGGCTTTGCTGTCTGTCTAATGACCCCATGTGAATATTATTGCTTGTCAGCATTTGATAGTGTTTTCAAATTTTCACTAGCCTGACATTTTATTTATTTATCCTTTTATTGTTGTTTGTTTATTTATTTGCTTGGGACAGGGTCTCTCTTTTTTTTTATGTGTTATACATCCTCAAAGTTTATTCTTAAATTAAAATGTTATTTTGAAAAGGCAACATGTTGATATGCACATAATATAATGAAATCAGACCTTTTCTGAACACTGTATAAAAAAATTCATCCAAAATCAATCAGAGGTCAAAGGCAAGGCTTAAATTATAAAACTCTCAGACTTTAACAGCACAAAAGTTTCAGAGCATTGAATTTGTCAATGTTTTCTTAGATATGAGCCAAAAGACTACAGCAAAGACTGAAGAGATTGGACATGCTTAAAAAACAGAATTATTTATTTATTTAGTTAGTAAGTTATTAAAAATTTCTACCTTCTCACCGCCTCCCTTTTCCTTCCCCCTGCTCACATTCCCCTCCCTCTATAGTCCTAAGAGCAATCAGGGTTCCCTTCAGGATCTTTTTAAGTACCCTAGCTGGCTAGGAGCTTGATATGTAAACCAGCCTTGCCTTGAACGCAGAGATATGACTGCTTCTGCCTTCCAAATGCTGGAATTAAAGGCGTGTGCTGTCCTGTCTGGCCCTAATATCATTTTTATATGAAATATTATTCTTACATTTTTATTAGTTTTGTGTCTGTGTGTGTACCAGTGAATTTAACTGGACTGACTTACAGAACCATGAGTGAGCAAGAGGGTATTTACAGGAATCTGAACAACTTACTAATGCATCACGACTGACAGACTTCTTGCCCTTCCCCAGCCACTATTTTCTTTTTAATTTTTTACTATACTTGTTCATTTATCACAGAGGATTATGTGCTTCATTTCACACATGTAAAGGTCAGAGGACAACATGCGGCAGTCAGTTCTCTCACTCCACCTTGTAGAACCCAGGGATTGAGCTGGTGTTCGTTGGGCCATTTTGCTTTCCCATCCCAGGAACTAGCTGTGTGTAAATCCTCAGACAGGCTCAGGACCTTGAGCCTCCTGCTGAAATGTTGACAGTCACATCACCCATAGGGCTTATGGAGATAGTCCCAGTTGCAGTGAGTTCCAGAGTACTGAAAACAGGATTTGGCAGCTCTCCTTCCCACTGACTTGGCTCTAATGTTCTTTCTGACCTTCAGATGTTATATAAGGTGCCTCATATAAATTCTGCATGTTCACTCATCTTTTCAGCTCAGTGTTTCAAAACCATGGCCTGGTGCAATCTAGGCAGTCATTCCACCACCAAGTTATATCCCTAACATGTATACTGAAATATTTAATTATTTTTTAAGGTTAATATTTTAGTTTAAATTTTTGAAGAGTTTATTTTTACTTCAAAACATTTAATATTGATACTAATATTTTATTTTAAGGGTTTAATTATTATATTTTTACTATAATAATATAGCAAATATATTATTATAATATAATAAGAAGTAAACTTGCGTCCTCTGGATGTGCAGCCACTGCTCTTAACCACTAAGGCATCTCTCCAGCCCCCAAATTTTATTTTTAAAAATATATTATAATACTTTTAATTACATATATGCTCATGTCTGCATATCTCTTCACATAACTGCTGATAATCATGGAAGTCTCAGGCATAGGATCCCCCTGGAGCTGGAGTTACAGTTTGTTGTGAGCCATCCAGCATAGGGGCTAGGAACCAAACTCAGGTCGTCTGCAAGAATATATGCTCTTAACTGTGGTGCCATCTCTCCTGCCCTTTGCAATATTTTAAATAAGCAAAAATCAAAGAAAATGTTAGAAGCAACTCTCATATATACACATATAGTCTTAAATTTTCCATTTCTCATTTCTAACTGTGATACCTTTAGGAACTGTTGTAAGGTGTTTGTATTGTGCGGGACAGTCAAATGAGGAGTCACTCCAGAGTTTAATTTTTGCTCTCTGGAGCTAAGAGGAACAGTTTCTGTGAACTGAACCTCAAACCTCTGTTTAAAAGCATAATTAAGGTTCTAGACAAAGGTTGTGTTTGGGGTACAACAAGTTCCTCATGCCAAAGTCCCTTTGATCTGTTGTATATGTTCTCAGAAAGAAATCATCAAAAGCCTGCAACTTCAGTTCTTATGGTGTATTGTCTGCAGTACCCAATAACTCAAGACCTCCAAGCATGCCTGGATTTTCTTGTGACTAAAGTCATGCAATGGATGGAAAACCCTTCAGAAAAACAGCTAGAAATCATAGAGAGCAATCTCTGTTCTCTATTATGATTCCTTCAAGGTCTGGGTGCCTTGAACAAGGACCTGTTACCTTCTGCCCTTACCCTACATACAGTGAGAAACAACTTCTTCATTCTAATGCTTACCTAATGTTTACTAGATTCCCACTATATTTCCCCCTTTTGTTCAACCTATTTTAATTACATTGAAGATTATGCAGTCATGCAGTGAAGATAGCCTTTCCTCTATCATTTGTCTCATAGTCTTTTTTATTGATTTTTATTGAGCTCTACATTTTTCTCTGCTCCTCTACCCACCTCTCCCCTCCTCTTCAACCCTCTCCCATGGTCCCAGTTTACTCAGGAGATCTTGTCTTCTTCTACTTCCTATGTAGATAAAATCCATGTATGTCTCTCTTTAGGTCCTCATTGTTGTCTAGGTTCTCTGGGATTGTGATTTGTGGGCTGGTTTTCTTTGCTTTTTATTTAAAAACCACGTAAGAGTGAGTTTATATGATAATTGTCTTTCTGGGTCTGGGTTACTTCACTCAAAATGGTATTTTCTAACTCCATCCATTTGCCTGCAAATTTCAAGATGTCATTATTTTTTTCTGCTGTGTAAATGTACCATTTTTCTCCATTGTGTAAATGTACCACATTTTTCTTATCCATTCTTTGGCTGAGGGGCACTTAGGTTGTTTACAAGTTCTGGCTATGACAAACAAACGACACTGCTATGAACTTAGTTAAGCCATGTTCTTGTGGCATGGTTGAGCATCCTTTAGATATATACACAAAAGTGTCTCACAGTATTATGTTTATGAGCAGGAATACATTTTAAAGTCAGTAGAATTATTATAGCACAAACAAATAAAACAATCATTAGAATAAGATATCTATTAAAATGATGCATAGGATTTAATGAAGCTAAGAATCTGCAATGCTTTCCATGACATCCATTCCAGATACATTATTTAACTCAATTGAAAAAGTTTCCTTTGTTGCTTGTTGTAAATAAAATCATGTAAGAATTAGGGTGATGCAACAAACACATTTTAACCGTCTCCCAATCTTATGTGCTTTCATTAAACCTTAAAGATGTAATACAATAAGATGTAATATTCTCATCACGTTTTAATTTAATTTTCTCCCTCAAAGTCTCTAACTGATCTTCCATTAGAATTACAACTTGCTTCCAGGCAGTGATGGTGCATCCCTTTAATACCTGCACTCAGGAGGCAGAGGAAGGTGGATCTCTGTGAGTTCAAGGCCAACCTGGTCTACAAGAGCTAGTTACAGCAGAGGTTCCAAGGCTACAGAGAAACCCTGTCTCAAAAAACTGAAAAAAAATTACAACTTGTCTCAAATCAGCTATTTCATTGACTACCTTACTATCTATTCTATTTTGCTTAGTTCAAAGTTCTGCAGCATGTTCATGCCAGACTTTAATTAATTCAGCAGTCTGAATTGCCTTATGAAGAGCTAGTCCAGGCATGACAATAGTTACAGTCAATACAATAATTTCCATGACCACAGCAACCATCAATCCAATCGTCCTGTGAGTTCTTCTTAATATTCTTTAAGAGAGTTTTTAGACTGGAATCATCACAGGTGAGCTTGCAATGGTGTCAATAACTCCCTGGCATCCAAACCATTGGCCTTGCTCTAAAAATATAGCCTTTCAGAAGTGACATCTAATAATATCTCCTTTAAAATGTGATTAAAGCTTCCAACAATTGTTTGTCTATGTGCTATCCCTGTATTGTGTTTTAATTACAATGAACACAAGATGTTTTACTTTACTGGAAACATAAGCAGGTGTTTATGTTTAATTTGCATTGATTTGCCCATTATAGCCATGTTTCTAATAAAGGTATAATTACAGAATCAACCTTTTTCAGAACTTAGGCAGATACCCATTAAAATCCTGAGTATGTATCAATAGTATGATGTATATATTTTATCTTTTACTA